TGCAGTCTGAGAAACATCAGTGTGAGGGACCCACACAGAGAGGACCCTAAACAAGCGACAACATAACCCACCACAGGCTAGAAGCTGATCAGTTTCAGCTGACCTGTTGGAATTCAGGAGCTTTCAGCTTTTATTTATTTATTTATTTATTGAGACAGAGTCCCACTTTGTTACCTTCAGTAGAGTGCTGTGGCATCACAGCCCACAGCACCCGCAAACTCTTGGGTTCAAGCGATTCTCTTGCCTCAGCCTCCCAAGTAGCTGGGACTACAGGTGCCTGCCACAATGCCTTTTTTGTTACAGTTGTCATTGTTTAGCAGGCCTGGTGTGTGTGGCCGGCGCCCTAACCACTGAGCTTGGGTACTGAGCTGAGATTTCAGCTTTTATTGCTTTGCTCTCTTTCCCACGTGCAATTTCTTCAACCACATCGTCACTGTATGATACTTTTTTCCTGGAAGATCATGAAGATGAGATTCTTTTCAAAAGATTAACTCAATTTTTTCTATGCATATACATATTTTTCTCCTTAGTTCTCTTGTAGGATCTTTGAAAGCAAGAAGGTTTAAGTTTTTCTAGACTAGTCTTCTAGACTAAGAGACCATTCTAGTCTTCCATTTAGAATTCTTCTACTTTATTTTTTTGTTTTGTTTTCTTTGCAGTTTCTTTTTCTTTTTTTATTAAATCATAAACACATAGATCATGTATACATTAATGCATTTATGGGGTACAATGTGCTGATTTCATATAGAATTAGGAACGCTTACATCACACTGGTTAATATATACCTCATCTCATTTACTTAATTATTGTGTTAGACATTTATACTCTATACTAATAGATCCGACATGTACCCTCACATTATGCACCATAGGTGTGATCCCACCATTCACCCGCCCTGGGTCTGACCTCCCCCTCCTCTCCCATCCCCCCCTGCCTCTTTATATGAAAGTGTGAGTGATGGTAAATTGGTTTCATAATAGTACTGAGTACATTGGATTTTTTTTTCTTCCATTCTTGAGATACTTTACTAAGTAGGATATGTTCCAGCTCCATCCATGTAAATGTAAAAGAGGTAAAGTCTCCATCTTTTTTGAAAGCTGCATAATATTCCATGCTATACATATACTATAATTTATTAATCCATTCATGGATCGATAGGTACTTGGGCTTCTTCCATGACTTGGCTATTATGAATTCAGCTGCAATGAACAATCTGGTGCAAATATGTTTGTTGCCAAGTGATTTTTGGTCTTTTGGAGATACACCTAGTAGAGGAATCGTGGGATCAAATGGCAGGTCTACTTTTAGATCTCTGAGTATTCTCCATAGTACTTTCCAAAAGGGATGTATTAACTTGCACTCTCACCAGCAGTGCAGAAGTGTTCCCTTTTCTCCATGTCTGAGAATAACATTTTTTTGTAGTATTCATTAAGGATTTTTTTAATTTCTGAGGTGTCTGTTGTTATTTCGCCTTTGTAATTTCTGACTGATGATACTATGAACTTTAATTTTCTATTTTTGGTTAGGTTAGCCAAAGGTTTATCAATTTTGTTGAATTTTTCAAAAAGTCAACTTTTTGATTCATTGATCTTTTGAATAATTCTTTTATTTTCTATTTCATTTAATTCTGCTTTAATTTTAGTTATTTCTTTCTGCTGCTTTAATTTTAGTTGTTTCTTTCTTTCTGCCTTAGTTATTTCTTCTGCTGGGTTTGGGGTTGAAATGTTCTTCCTTTTCCAGTTGCTTCAGGTGTCCTATTAAGTTATTGACTTCCTCTCTTTCTGTTCTCTTGAGGAAGGCTTAGAACACTATAAATTTCCCTTTTAGGACTGCCTTTGTGGTATTCCACAGGTTCTGACAATTGGTGTCTTCATTATTGTTTTGTTTCAAAACTTTGGCAATTTCCTT